ATTCTGGCTAGGAACCTACGTGAGCAGTCAGACCTGGCTGACTGCTCTTCCCAGCAGATGTCTGGAAATTTCAGGTCCCCCATGATGATCACGTCCTTTGACCTAACTACCTATGTGAGCTGACTTAAGAATTCCTGGTCTAGCTCTTCCCCTTGGTTGGGTGGTCTGTAGTAGACCCCCACCATTAAGTCTCTGCAGCATCTCTATAGATTGGGTGCTTCAGCAGAACTTTTTGGCAGTTTTATCTAAAGCTGAGTCAATCAGCTATTAGATAAAAGCACCAAAAAAACCCCATTAAAGCACCTGATCTATACAGACCCCAGGTGAGCTGGGTCCAACGAACGCACTGGCTGTTTTGGGCATGTGCTGGGCTCGGCGTGGGAGTATGTGGAGTTTAAAGTAAAGCATCTTTTTTTTTTAAACGTCTGCAAGCAGCTTGTCCCTTTGACCCAGTCATGATCCCCTGCTAGGGGCTGAGAATGATGGCTTACAACTGCTGTCCTAACTCTTCATCACCTTTGTTACTGGTTCAGTGGGAATTCTCAGGTAGTTAGCTGAATAATCAGGTCTTAGAGGAGGATTCAGCCCTCTAGCTACAAAGGAATAATGATTAATACAATTTTTAAAACAGTTAGCTGAAGAAACTTTCCTAGGAGAAATCAATGCCAAAACCCCGCAGAGTTCCTCCTCTGTTCTTCCACTGCAGCCAGCTGGGCTTTCCCCAAACCCACAGACTTCTGTATAATCTGTGTAGAGGCTTGGCCGTTGCTGCCATGAAGATGTATTATCTTTTCCGTGGAATCTCATTCTTGAGAGGGGACAAGTTATCTTCTCTTACAAACTCTTGCCCAGATCCCTGACTCCTGCCTTCCATATTGTGGACCCAGGCCCATGGAGTGCCTTGACAGAAGTGACAGTACCAGAGAGGCATTCAGCCCTTCCCACTTTTCTTCAGAACAGAAAGATCCATGAGGCTATGACAAACAATTCTACTCAAAATTAGTTTATATATTACATCGTAAATGAAAATCTCTTCCCTACTTAAAAGTCCTTTGCAGCTCACTGAAATGCTAAGTACTTTGTACACAGAGAGAGAGCTTCTATAATACTATACAATAACAATGTTTTTGTAAAATAAGTGTATTTTGGCTAATATGGTTTGCTACTGTGTTTAAAAATATTACGGTTATTATGGCTTTATTTAAAATGTGATAATGACCAAGTGCAAATTATAGCAATCAATTGCAAAATGTATATACATGTAGAACTGCAAAGGGCTTTTTATATAGGATTACATGCTGCATCAAAGTAAAAGCCATTGGCAGGTGTTCAAAAATCCTACTTATATTTGTTCAGGATTCTTTAATAAACGTAAGTATGAAGCTTTTCTAATATTGTGGTATTGCATGGGATATATTGAGTTTAAAAATGTATGCTTTCCTGCACACACACACAAGATTTTTCAGTGCCTGCTGTAGAAGATGCCCTTTGGGACATGATGCTGTTGTAATGCTAGAATTTACCGAGATAAAATTGGTCTTTGTGATTTAATTAGAAAATTCTCAGCAAAAGTCACTGTTTTCAAAATTGTCCAACAGGGTATTACTTTTTTTCACTTCAGATTGGGGACAAAAAACTTTTGCTCTATCTGTTATCAGCGTAAAAGGATCCTTTTAAACAAAGTGATTTCTTGAAAGATAGAAAATGCAGGCTGTTGAAGAGGCTGACAGCACCTGAATATACTTGTAGACATCACACTTAGTGATGGACAAAACGGTTTGGAAGAATCTGAACTATTCTCATTATACTCATTTTGACATTTCCAGATAACAAGACCTTATCAAATATTTACATGAAACATCCAAACCAGCTGGCTTACAGAGAAGTGGCTGAAGCTTGACTTTTTATCTATGTCCACCACCTAAAGATTATATCCTAATTTCTGTTTTCTCTCCTGAGGCTCACCAGATACCTTACCAATTCTTCTCTGCCAGCATTCCTAGTACAGTATTTACTCTGCATCAGCTATGCTTTTCCTTTAATGACAATCAAGTGCAAAATCTTTGGAATTTCTATGAAATCCCCTCTTTTCTTAACTAAGTTAGAATCTGTCTCTTAATTTGTGCGTTCCTGTTTGTTTCTTGCAGAACAACTGGCTCAGCTGGCGGCCAGTCTTAGGAGGCCTGAATTTGGTGCTACAGGTCTTCCAGGTAGACCTGGACCACCTGGTGCTCCTGGACCTGCTGGAGAAAATGGCTTCCCAGGACAGCTTGGACCTCGTGGTCTACCAGGCCTCAAAGGACCTCCTGGTGAGATTGGTCGCAAAGGTCCAAAAGGTGAGAGATCTTGTCACTGGATGTCACTGTAAATGCTACCTGCTTCTTTGCTTTTATATTATATGGAAGCAAATTGTACATAAGTGAGGCTCAGCACTGCAAGACACTAATTGTATTGAAAAACAAGTTTGGTCTTCTGAGTTCCCCTAGTATTAAAGCTTTCAGAACAATTTTAGGATTAGCATCTGCATTCAAGCCTCTAATTTTCTTGTCATTATACATGCTAAAATAAATAACAATAAGGCTATGCAGTTCTCCTCACCATGCTACTAAGCCTTCAGTTCTGGTTTCCAGTGCTAGTTTCTCTGAGCGTTAGAGCAAGGAAGGTCTAGATCCAGTAATGGAATGAGGTGCCTACAAATTAGGCACTGTGATGCTTCACATTTAGATGCCTGGCCCCCACAAAGCAGAATTTAAGATTGTGTCTTAGGCACCTGGGTTCCCTACACGGTGCATGCGGAGTTGGGTGCCTCCAAAGGGCAATCCAGAACAGCTAGCATGGGCAAATGGAACCACCTAAAGCCAACCAAAAGGAAATGATAAACACAGAGGCACACCTGAAAGCCTCTACTTTCTGGAGACTGTATTAAGGCTCCTGGGAACCCCGCTATCCACTTGCAGTGGAACCTTACCAGAGAGGATGCACCTACATGAATTCTTTCAAAGAAATGAGCAGGGTCCCTTTTTTTCTTTTAAAAAGTCACAAGAACAGCACTCATTATTTATGTCATAGCATAGTGGTTAAAGTACTTGTCTAGGAAGTAGCCCCTCCTGTGTTAGACAGCCACTGAATAGGGCTTTTTTGAATTGCAGTTTTGGATAGTACCTTTTAAAAAGGAATAGTACCTTTTAAAAATGTTCTTCCCTTGCAAAGCCCTCTGAATACTGGAGTATATGGAGATAGCACGTCTTGAGGTTTTAGATAAAAACCCTGATGACATAGGAACAGTATGGAAGGGAAACAAACACCACTTGCAGGTGCTAGAGATTTGCTCCTTTGTGCCATTCTACCTGGACCAAGCTGTTCAGAGAGGTTCCTCTGCATGGAACTGGATGCCAGACTGGTCAGGTGATTCTGCATCAGTCTTATACATGGATTTTGAATAGTCTTAGATATAGTGTGTAACACTCTGAAAATTAAGTCTGAACTGATGAGAGGATGAGAGTTTCACCCTTGATCTTCCTTAACTCAAACCTATAACATCCAATCAACATGCTACACAGGCACTAGACAAAAGCATAGGTTTAGATCTAAAAAGCTTTCAGTTCAAGTTTCTCTGAAGCATAGAAATATTAGCTTTAGATCTAATGAAGAATTTAGGCACCTGCAAATTAGATGCTGCAGTACCTAACTTTAGGTGCAAATTAGATGCTGCCCTGACTGGAATCCAAAACCCACAAAGAAATGCCTAGGCTCCCTGTGCAGCATTGGGTGGAAGCTAGGTACCAAGGATGGCAATTGAAAACAGCTGCATGCTGATGCAGCTTGACTCAGGACTTTTCGTAGGCACCTCAAGTTATGGGGACTCCTTATCAGGAGCAGCACTTACTGCTGTTCGCTGGCTCACCTATAGCCATTCTCTGGTGTACCCTCCTGCATAGGAGAGGGAGCCCTGAATTCCAGCTTCTGTGACTGGCTATGCATTTTTTGCAATAAAGAGACATTGAATAATAGTCATAAACAACATTGGAACTTGGGGCCAGGGCTTCCTCCATCCCAGGCTAGAGGTCGCCTCACTGAACCTAGAGAATCAGGCTCTTTCTTGCTTACTGTCCTCTAGTCCAATCATTCTGGCACTTGGGGCTGTGAAATGGCTAAGTGTCAACAGGAAGGGATGGTGGAGGGTGCCCTCAGTGTAGTCTAGCCCAAAACCTTTGAATCCCTTAGCAGCAGAAACTCCTAACTTGGGGCTGCAGAGAATAGTGTAAATATTGCTTCACTTGAGGCAGGATTCCAGGCACAGTCCTTTCATCTACACACAGTATTGGCTGCCCTATGCATTCCCCCTGCTTAGGAGGGAATGCTATTAATTTTGACCAGAAGGTGCTTAACCTCTCCAGTCAAGGTAGGGGAGGTATGGGATGCCTGACTTGGTTTCGTGAATTTCACTTATGGGCATGTAAGCCTAAATTTTAGATGAGACAATGCACAACATTGCTGCAACTGGGTGCCTTTTGAAATCTTAGCTCAAGGGCTTAGATTACTTGGTACCTCTCAGGATCTGACCACCATGTGTAAATATTGAGGTGTTGAAAACAAGGGTAGGAAAGTAGCTGCATATGTGCAGAAAAAGCTGTGTGGCTTCCCTGCAGCCTTAATGACTGGAATTGCAGAAGGACGTTGCTATCTATTTGATTGATAGAGCAAATGAGAATGTTTAGCCTGTGTCTAACTGCAATGAGATAGCAAGGTAAGGAGCACCTTAGAAATGCTAACAATAGTACATGCTTCTGATTTTGGCTAGTTTTTCTGGGTTTCAAATGTGAAAACAGCATTTAACTGCAGTCATGGAGAAAAGAAATTCTGGGGAAAAGATATTTTTGCAAAAATGCAAGTTGGGCCAGGCAGTCAGAGGTGCCTCAGAAGGCCAGCTTGGTTGGCTGAGTTGTGTTAAACTCTTGAGGCAGACATCTCTTCTTTGCGTAAACTGTAAATATTGTATCACTGGTTTATCACAGGTGATGCTGGTGAAAAGGGGGACAGAGGATTTCCTGGCAGAGGACCCAAAGGCTTACCTGGAACAACAGGTCTTCCAGGTAAATATACTGGGTAGGAGGAAAAGTAGAGGAAAAAAAAATATGTAGCAAAATTAATTAACTGATGTTTTGGTCTCTTTGAAAAACTGGAAGTACAAGTGTTTATTAAGAGAAGAGGCAGGTTTCCTCATGTCTTCATTGTAGATAAATAGCTACATAATCATATTGTAGAATGTCAGTTTCATTGTAGATACAAATGTAGATCTGCAATTTCATTGTAGATAAATAGCTACATAAGCCAGAATGAGTATTTTATGAAAAAAGAAATAAGCCTGCTACCATTGATATCAATTAAGACCTCTTTACATGTGCAGGCAAAGGCACAATGTGATCTTATGCACAATCCACACAATTGCACCTCCTGCCAAGCCACAAGGGTGTGGGATCCAGCATAAGATCCTATCATGACCTACTGCTGGTACCGGGGGAACCTGGGATTTCCATCCTAGGCTTCCTTTGCCCTGGCAATTAGCAAGCTTCTGCAGCTGCGAGTCTTGCAGTTGGGGCTCCCCTCAGCTGAGAGATCACAGCAGCTCAGTTTTCTATCCGTGGGGGCACAGGCTACACATTCAAATTAAAGCTGGATAGAAACAACATTTTCCAGCAATAATTTTATAGCTGGCTGGCCCTTTTTAAGACACCATAGTTAATTTGCATGTGTAGCCAATCTAAATTAATTGTGCAGTTAACCAGTAAGCAGGTAATTGTGCAATAGATATAACATGTAGAGGGGCCTAGCAAATGTCTGCAAATAAAAAATATTGAAATATGCAACTTCCAGAATGAAAACTACAAAAACACAACTCTTGCCCCAGTCAGCAGAAGCAGCATTCAAAGCCTCCATTCATAACTTAGGATTTCAAAGTATAGGTTGTCTTTACTCTCTGATAGTGAATTGCCATGTTATCCTACAGAGTATCAGAAACTAGATTCTTCCTCATAAATGCAACATAATTGGCCAAAAGTGGCGAAAAGAAGAGAAATCAGGCCATGCCAGAGCCAGTGCTCAGGGCCAGTCTGGTGGGATGCTGCATGCAGTGTGCCCTCCATGTGGGCCCCCTGTGCCATGTGGTAGTACCTGTGGTACCAGGTCCAGCCCATGCACCACACACTGGCCCTGTACCAGCCCTGTTCATGGCTGTGCATGGCATGCACACATGGCCCAGAGCATAATCTATACCAGCCCTGGAACCAGTGTGCAGGGCCTGTTCTGTAGGGCACTGCATACAGCACTTTCTTGGGGTCATATGTAGCACCTGAGGTGCTTGGCTCAGCCCATGTGCCACCTGTGGTGCGACCCCTGGTGCAGAGGAGTCCAAGGCTGGCATAGGGAGTGCACTGCATTCAGCACCCTGCCAAACTGGCCCTGTGTACTGACTGTAGTGCAGCCTGATCCAGCCCACAAACTGACTCTGAGATCCTCATCCAGTCCATAGAGCCAGGTTTGAGATCCCTGGCCTAGCACACCAGCAGTTTCTGCAGCCAGCCTCACACAAGGAAGAGATGTGGTCAGAGTCAGGTCTGGCTGCCATTGAGTCCCTGTCCTAAGTGACTAGGTACCCATTTATAGCTGGGTCAGCTAGGGACACCCTTTAGCACAAGTCCAGAGTAGGGCTTGACCTTGCATCTCCAGAGCTATTGCAAGACACTGTCACCGCTTTGCCACTACACCCGTTCTCTGCTTCTGTGGAACTCACTGAGAGACAGTAAACATGGAGCCTCACAAAACCACTTCACAGTCACTTTGAAGAAGGGAGTTTTCTATGCTGTATGCTGCTGCATGTTAATGTGTATGTTCACTCTTGCAGGTGAACCAGGCAAACCCAGCTATGGTAGGGAAGGACGTGATGGGCTACAAGGCCCACCAGGTATAGCTGGTCAGCCTGGAGTTCCTGGTCCTCCAGGTCCTCCTGGTCCTCCAGGATATTGTGAGCCATCATCTTGCACAGTGCAGGCTGGACAGAGAGCTGGTAAGAATGTGAAAGGGCCATGAAATTGCAACGCAAGTACCAGGAAATGTTAGCATCAATTTACTACCTGCACATACAGCTGACACAGAGGAGAAACATACCAAACAAGGAAAACTTCATCAACCAAGGCTTCAATAGGAAAAAACTTTAACACTTTGTTGTACCATCTTTCAAATGTTTGTTGGCAATACAATTTGGAACAGCGGTGCTTTCAAAACTGCATAGGCAAGGCCTTTGGGCTTTGTCTTTGCCCTAGGGATACAAGGCAGTTTTCAAATAAATTATTTTAAAAATAAAGGCATTTTTCAGTCATACCCCTGCCATGATAATGTTCAGTGATATACTGGGTTTTAGGGCCAAGACTAAATAAAAAAGAAGGAATGTTTTTCTTACCTCATTTCTAGCTATAATTCCTTTGGGTTATATTTGGAAAATAAATTCCATAGATGCCAACTTAACTGATCACATCACCTTGTCTACATTCATTCTACCAGGTGTTTGTTTCTTTTTCTCTACAAATTACTGTGATTTCAACAGTCATGGCTGCCAAGCCACACTGAATACCTTTTATGCTGTAAATCTTTGTAAATGTGTGATCGTTATGAAGAAGTCATGTAGAATAATCTATGCATAATACCAGCTTTTAGTTTCTGCTCCAGTTTGTGTTGAATCCCTAATTTTGTTTGAAGCCTGTTCCATCTTGGGTCCTTCTGGGTAAAATCTAAGAAGGCAAGAAGCCACTGGTAAGGGAATTTTAATTCCCAGAAATAAATACGTTTTATAGCTCAGATTATTTATTTTAAAGATCTAAAATGACATCGCTGGTTGTACAAAAGGAAAAAATAAATAATGTTTCTTAACCCCTTGCATGTTTTTGAATGAATGATCTTATATGGTACAGTTAAAAATAGCTCAGTTAGAAAAGCCCCATTAGATATGTCCAGATTCTGCCTTATCTATTGCAACTTCATTTTTAAAGAAATATGTGCAATGCAGATATTTTTTGTTTCTTGCTGTGTAAATTAAAGTATTGGTGTTTTGGACTATCTAACTTCCTTAAAGTGTCCTCTCTCTCTCTGAAAGAACAAAATAAAACTATTCTGATTTTATAATTTTTTTTCCTCATGTTACCCTTAGTTCCCCAAATAGTTCTAAAATATTTATGGCAACTGTCCAAGATGCTTATTATTTTCTTAGAGTCCCTTAATTTTTTTGGATTATGTTCAAATCCCTTAATATTTTTGTGACAGCAAATTAAAAAAGGTAAAAGAATAATTCCAGCAGTGGAGTTACAAATTTTGCCCTGAAAATATATAGCAGTTCTAAAATAAAATACACTTAGCAGCTACACAGCGAATCTAAACATTTCTGAATAATGTCTCTGATGGGCAGTAATGAATTGAGTTCCTATCAGGTCTTTTTATAACCAGGAATCTCTCCCCCAGGGGACAGCTTCCAACATAAACAAAAGATGACAGTATCAGATCCAGCAAAACACTGAAACATGCTTAACTGTAAATATACTGACACAACCCGAGATCATCACTATAGTGGTTACAATAGGGGAATGAAAGGTGGAGATGGTCTTTAGTTTTTGCAGCAGTTGCAGTAAATCTCAACATCACATGGTGGTATGGCAATTATGAAACACACCTGTTAGAAATGAATTACATCAAATACACCAACTATGAAATATGGGTTCATAGTGCCAAGCAGGTCTGCAGCCTGCAGTGAAGATGTGTATAGGGGAGTATCCAGTTCATAAAAGCACTTATGGGCAGGGACAGCTGTAGCCCTGTGAAGTGAAACGTTTAAACTGGGCCAGGATAAGTAATCTGTGCAGGTATAAACATAAAATACAGAAGGCTGGAATAACTTTTCCCAGCAAATTCTGAAATACAGAGTAGGATAGCTTATATTTAAAAGACACTAAGGTATTAAAGAAGTAAGATTGAATTGTGAAATTGCAAGCTTCAGAGCAGCCAGTGTGCACCTCTGTTTCTTCTTCACACTGGGCCTACACATTGGCTTACTTATATATGTATACACTTTTGCCTTCCATTTTCGTTCCTTTTCTAAAGTCCCCTCTCATGGTCATCCTGTGGCAACAGTTTCCTTGAGAACAGTAGGTGATGGCAGATGCTTTTAAATAGGCAAATTCTTTGAGTTTCTTATGTAAATGTTATTCTCCAGGCTCTGCTGAAACAAAACTTCCAGTTATGAAGCATTTTGAGAATAAATTAATCCTAATTAGAAAAAAAATCCACCATCACCTGCTGCATTAGGTGTATTCAAAGTTTACTTCTCTACTACTTCTTTGTGTAGTCAGAAAGTGTCTGAACAGATCACTTGGGAAAATAAGCTTGCTATTAAAGGGGTCTTTTAAAAAGTTGACAGATATTTTCTCTTGTACAATTTCAAAAGGATTATTCAGTCTTCAGAATGAGTATTGCAACTCTGGAGAGCATACACTGCTTTTGTGATACATTAGAAGGAAGCTGTACCCATGTTTTATGAGCAATCCTCAACTATGGTGCCTTTGTAAAGAGAAGCTTGAGGGAAGACATAATAAGGGTTTACAAAATACTGAATGGTGAAGAGAAGGTAAATAGGGATTTATTTTTTACTCTGTCCCAATACAAGAACTGTGTGTGTGTGTGTGTGTGGGGGGGTCACAACATGAAACTAGTAGGTAGTACATTTAAAACTAACAAAAGGAAGTTCTTTTTAACACAGTGTGTAATTCAAGTGTGGAACTCATTGCCAGCAGATGTTGTGGAAGCTGACAGTTTAGCCAGATTCAAAAAGGGAATGGACAATTCTTGAAGAAAAGGGGCATCAGTAACTATTGAGCCCAGGGGTTACGTCACTGTGTGACGTAGGAGACTGGGCAAGAGGGACCTGAATGGTCCAACCCAGGTAAATGCCATTTCTTGTTCTTATGATATTTATTGTATGTATGATGTTGTACTGAGTGGATCCAGCATCACGTTTGAGGCACTCCATGTACACTCACAGTTTAGAGACAGTTCGTTCCCAAACCAGTTTGTTCCCACCTTACCAGAACTTCTAGTCTTAATGGGTAAGCTAGACAAGAGATGGAAGGAGGGGATGGCATATAGAGGGTGAAATTATTTTCCAGTGGCCTACAGCAGAGCCAAGGATAGAATAGTTTTCTATACTATGCCCTTATACCAGACTATTGCTCATTTAGAGGCAGCCCACAGGCGGCTTCCAGAATCTCCCCAGGCTGCCTGTTCCTCCCACTGCTTTCTCTGGAGCAGGAAGCTGTGGGTGAGTGCACGGCTATGCGAGGGGAGAGGGGAGATTCAGGCCCATGTGTGGAGGAGATTGCACCTGTTGGGTGCAGCCGGGGGGTGGGGGGAATCATGCTCAAAATTATGTTGTAGAGGGAAACATAATTTAAAAATAGAGCACCATCCTGTGATATGTACCTTCATTTTCCTGTAGTTGCTCAGCACCTTAAAGAACATGGACCTTACAGACTCAAACAGCATTAAGGCTAAATTGTAGCTTCACCAACAAACTTTTATTTGGACTCTATTGGCAGAATAAAATGTGAAACTTTACAGGAAAAAAAAGCGAACAGAATGATTCCCCCCCCTCAAAATATATAACCATAAGAAATCAGTGGAAGAAAAAAAAAGATTCAAATGCTATTCAGCTGCTTTTAAAAACTTCAGTCTTAAAATCCTGAAAACTTTCACAATCGAAGTGAACAATGTAGGTTATAAAACATAAATCACATGTTAAAACCATTATTATTACAACAAAGATATTTGATATTAGCATTTAGGTTCAAGTCAGTGCAACATTCAAGTGGACAGCCTGTGGTGCCACCACATTTCTATTTTGGACCTAAGTTATAAACAAACTTCTAGCTCAAACACAGTAAAACAAAGACCAAACTCTGCTAATGCATATGGGACTTGCACTGAGGACTTAGCAGTCAAGATATACTTTGCTCACAGTTGTATGTAAGCTATGCATATATGTATCTCTCCTTAATCAGGAATAGAAAAATATTCTGACTTAAAATTGTAAGGAAGCTGGTATGCACTTGGTTTTAGCAATAATGCATTATTCTGTCAAAGATTTGGCAGGTTAAAGGGATTTATTATTAATTTAAAAGAAAAGCAGTTCACATATTAAAAAAAAAACCCAAATGTGATCACGAACAGACAACAAAATGAAAACATTATGAAACAAAGGAAGAAAGGGGGAAAACAAAGAACAGAAGGGAACAAAAAGGAGTTCATAGAATCTTAACAAAAACGGATTTTAAGAAGCAGCGACCTTGCCTGTCTCTGACTTCCACTCTGAATCTGACAGAATCACGTGAGGTAAGACATGTAGAAATCCCTCACTAACCTGGAGCGTGATTGCTTTATTACTAGCACCCTATTGATTTGTTTCATCTAACTGCATAAGAAATAGGTCTGAAATGGTGGCAAATTCTTTCTTCATTTGACAGACAAACTTAATGCTTGCTTATGACTAATCAATTCAGGATAAAATCTGATTAAATTAACATTTCTAGCCTGATGTGATGCTCATTAGGCTGTTAGCCCAGGGACTACTGCAGGGTAATGATGCTTTCTAAAAGATACTCATTTTGAACAGGCACCCCATTACTGCCATTTAGCAGTATCTTACTTTGGTAGTGGTTTATGCATGGTTCCATCAGTTGGTTGTTTCCAGTGCAGCTTTTATATTTTACAAGTAGTTCATGCACCTAAGATGGCAGAGGGCACCAGGACAGAATTTGGCTGTCTTTCACCAACCTGCCCCTCCCTCCTAAAAAAAGAGGCAAGAAACAATAGATGAAGCAAAGTTACTTTCCCAGGGAAAAAAGACAGCAAGGAAGAGACTCTGCCTTTGCTTCAGAGATGACATGATAGATTTCCTCTACCAGCAACTAGCAGTTACACTTCATGATACTAGTACATACTGTGCTTGTAAAAATATGCTTTCAATTGCTGGAGTACTTGGGTGAAACATGTTTGCTTGACCTAATGACTGGATAGATTGTGGAGATGATGGATGCATTGATGTTGATGATGTTAATTATCCTTGTGTTACTTACCTTCTTTTAGTTATTGTTTAAAATGAGCAGGACTTTGGGCAGAACCCTGTTTCACCTAGTGGATAACCACCATGCAGCTTGAGACTAGCTCCAAGTTATCTAACTATTGTGTAGAATTCATTCTAGCACCCCTTTGCTCATGTAAGGAATAGGGAGATGGTTGTATGTCTCAGGAGTGTGATGCTATTCCTACGTTGAGTAGGAGCATGACAAGGCCCATCCATAATAGTTGGGTAACCTCAACTTATTTGAGGTTGAAGCTTTATTTGGTAGTGCACTAGGTAAAACAGGATTCTATCTTTTATCTCTGTCAAAATCAGCAGTGAGAAGGAGAAAGATGTTGGGTGCTTACAGACATGGGGGCGGGGGGTAGGGTGCTTTATTTTCAACTTGATGCACCGAGCACACTGCATGCCCAGAAGAGAAATTGCATCAGTTTGACCTGGCTTGCCCAGCATCTGTACAGCTTGTGCTTCAGTGGGGCTTGTTGACACTTTTATCTAATAGCTGATTGAGTCTATTGACTGTGTTAGTTTAGCTCAACTCTTACCAACAGGAAGGCCCTTTTTCTTTTCATTGAGTTGGTCAGTATTTTTCAAATCTTCAATTTTCTTTCTATTTATAGGATGAAGGCATCCTTTTCACTACATGTGCTCTTTTGTGAGTGCCTTAGATAATATATAACATGAGCTTGCTGGAGTCAGTTTCTAACATTATTTTGAGAAAAAAATGAAAAAGAAATCAATAAGGGTCAGATTTTCTATCCTGTGCACTTTCAAACACTGCCAAGCTGTACAGTCTTTTTTCCAATTTGGGAAAATTATACAACAATGTAAATACCTAAAGTTAGGCACTGACATCAATCTGTTTTTAGGCTACCAGAGCAATACCTTGATTCTCAGATGGAGCAAATACTTTCCTGCAGCTTCAATTAAAGTGAATAGAACCTCGGAAAATCAGTATGCAATACTGAGACTCTGAAATACTGGCTGCTGACATCCTGACTCCAATGATGAAAACTAGCTACCTTTCTGCTCACCCTTGACCTCAGCATTGAAAATGCTGGCCGCTAGGAATAGCAAATGCTTTGCATTTATTTGTGGCTGCTAACCTGATGTATTCACTTTCATGTGGACAAAGGGGGTGCAGAACATTCCCCTTCCCCTTTGATTGCATTAAAATGATATTAATAGCATTGCAAGGTAGTGGCAAATCAGATTTTCTAATCCACTTAACATGTGCACTGAAATGAACCAAAATATTACAAATGAAAAAATTAACAAGAAAAGAGGTATAGCATTTATCAGTGTGAATGTGCTGTGATGAATTCAATGACAGCTAAATGCTATTTGAAAATTAGATTTAACGATAAAATAGTGTGGGCCATCAAAAACCCTTCAAATATGTGAATTGAAGACAAAATATATTCACGCTGACAAATTCAGTAAATACTTCAATGCATTCACTTTCATAAAACAACAGACTTTCAGATTCAAAATATCAAGAAAAACATTTATAGATTACATTCTGTATACCCATAAGCTTATTTTGGTCTAGTAATATGAACATATTTTTAGCAAACCAAATTTATACATGCTTTCTTAAATCATTTTGAAACTTGAATTTTCCATGTAAAAACTTTTTTGACAAGTGGTAGGTCTTCATGAATGATGCCAAATACTGCAGATGGAGGCAGATTTAAAAATAACAGCTCATATGTCACACTGCAGAGGTTAATTTACACTACTTGGCACACTCAGTATATAACAATATCTGGTAAAAATGTAATTGTCAACTTTTGTCTTGCTTCCTGAGACACTTGTAAAGTTTGAATAACAACAGTATTATATCATAGCAATCATTTTTATTAAATTGGACGATGCAAGAAACTTTGCTGGCTTGCATATGTTTGGGAAAAAAGCAGGTGTATGCATATATAAAGCACTCACTTCATATTTTTTCATACAACTTTTATATAGCAGACAACATTTACAATGATAATAAAAAGGGAAAAAAAAATCAGATGATCAACACAGGCTGACCTGAAAAGTAATCTCTCACCATTGTGACGGTCAGAAGTGCTAAGGGATTTTAAGAAATGCTTATCAATGAGATAAAAAGCTACTTATCATGTAGTCTTACCTATCAGGTAAATATATTTATCTTGCATTTGTCAGTCATACATATGATCATCAAATGTACAGAGAACGTTTATAAAAAGAGAAATCACCCCTACCAGTATGCTATGAAAACATAACGCTTATTTTACTGCTGAAACCAAGTACACGTTATTTATACAAAAATATCAAAGCATTAAAATGTTAATGTAAAATAACATAAGTAGAATGTACTGTTACCTGATTTTACAAAGTATACTACTCTAATGTTTAGTCATTAATTCAACAGAATTACTGCTCCATTAAAGACACAAACTGGATAAAATTGATGTCTGAAAGTGACGTGTTTTACTATAGATTCCCCTGCATTTGATGCATATACAAAATACACACACACACACACACACACACACAAATTAAGTCATTAAGTCATATAACCTGACAATATACATGAAAAACAGTATTTTCTCAAACAGTGCTCTCTAAAAATAAACTGTAAATTGTAGAAAATAATATTAGACCCAAAGCCAAAAGTGAAAAATGTAGTACGAGACTGAATAGGTCAATACTGCACTGTTCCTGCCCTGAATGGTTAAAATTCTGTCTCTATATTATTACTCACACTAACGTGTTCTGAACACCATCGTGTGGACAAAAGGAGGTATATCACAGGCTCTGAATAGCTCTGAAAGGCTTCGGCATAAAATCAGCCACAGCAGCTTTATTACTTTCCCCAAAACTAAGTTCTATATGCAGCTTAAGAAAATTCCAAAGGTAT